GTGTAGCGTTTCCAGCCGGCTAGAAATAAATGTGTGCTCACGGCGAGCTAGCAGCTGATTTTAGCTGTATTGCCATCGTGTTCCTGATGATAAGGAAGCGAAACAAGTGCTGTTACTGTGCTTACCTAATATCCCCAACAGCCCCCAGCGACCCGTAGTTACAACCTGGTGCTGCCACCGCATATCAACATGCGCCGCACAGATGCGAATTGTTGGGAGCACTGTGTGAAACCGTGTCGTATTCAAAGAACTTTTTTGCAGAACACATACGATTTTCAGGTAAATTGTTGGTGTCATATGATTAAGGGAGAATCATAGACGAAAACAAGGTAAAGTTTGAATATATTTATTCACATATTGATAGAATATTTTAAAACGGTAGTTTAAAACTATGCAAAACGCTGTTAAAACGGTGTCATACTCTTCTCCTATTATGTACTCTTGATAGGTATGTATGTAGGTAGGTAGGTAGGTAAGTAGGTAGCTAATTATGTAGCTAATTATGTAGGCTATGTAGGTGGGTAGGTGTAGGTAGATAGGTAGGCAGGTATGTAGGCATAGGTAGGTGGGTAGGTAAATAGGTAGGTAGGTACATTGGTAGGTATAAGTAGGTAGCTAGGTAGGTAGGTAGGTAGGTAGCTAGCTAGCTAGCCAGGTAGCTAGCTAGGTAGATAAGTAAAGCTAAAAACCGACAGTGTCTAAACTCACCTCTTCTAAGCTGAAGAGGACACCGCCTATTGGCGCTCCAAACGCAACTGCCACACCAGCAGCCGAGGCAGCAGAGAGGATCTATGTAGTCAAAAACAAAAGGTCATGTCAAGGACAATGTGTTAGACAAACATAGCACACCACAAACTCATCATAGCGTGTAGCAGCTCTGTGTATTCATATACTACATATTCCACATGATAACAACATAAACATAAGCAGCGTCTTCCCACTCATAGACTCCTAACCTGACCACCATCCTACTCCATCCATAGACTCCTAACCTGACCACCATCCTACTCCATCCATAGACTCCTAACCTGACCACCATCCTACTCCATCCATAGACTCCTAACGCTGACCACAGCATCCTAGCGTTCACATCCACTAGACTCCATAAACAGCTGACCCACCAACCTGCTGACAGCGTCGGGCCGTCGCATGTACACGCTCGTTTCTAGCACACGTGCCATAGACTTCTCCCACCATCCTGGCCATCACTTGAGACTCCTACCTGCCCACCCTTCCACTCGCATTCCATGACTCTAGACCGCCATTGCGCCTACTCCGTCCGAGACTCTACCTAGCCATCAAACATACTCCATACAAGACCCTACATCTCTACACTCCTCCAACTCTAACCTGACCACCCACCTAAGCTCATCCATAACCTCCCCAACCTGACCAACCATCCTACTGTACTCCATCCCCGATAGACTGCCGAACCTGACCACCCATCCGACTTACTCCTACGTCTCATCAGAGCGTCGCTACCCGACCACACTCTGACTGCCACTCATCAGACTCGCCTACACCCTGACCTACCATCGCAACTCATCCATAGACTCCAACCTGACCCACCTCCATCTACTCCATGCATTAACCCTAACCTGGACCACCCAGCCTAATCCATGCCATAGACTCCTAAACCGCCGCTCCTGAACCACCAATCCATAACTCCATCAATAACTCCCATTAACCTGACCACCCACAGCTAACTCTCATCCATAGACCCTAACTGACCAAACCCTATCCCTATTCTGCCAATCCATAAGATCTCCTAAACCTACCACCATACCTACTTCCATCCATAGACTCCTAACCTACCACCATCCACCCATCCAATAGACTCCTAACCTGACCACCAACCTAACGCCTCCATCCATAGACTCCTAACCCTGTACCACCATCCTGAACTCCATCCATGGACTCCATAACACTGACCACCATCCTACTCCATCCCATAACCCTAACCTGACTCAACCATCCTACTCCATCCATAGACGCCCTAACCTGACACCAATCCTACTCCATCCATGAGACTCCTAACCTGACCACTACCATGCTACTCCATCCATGGACGACCGCACTGATTGCTGTAACCTATCTACAAACTCCCACCTGACTCCAAACCTACCCCATCCACATACCACCACTCTGGCTACAGTTTACCTCTTCACAAACTACCATCTTCATCCATCCATAGACCAGTGCCCTGGGTGCCCAAGAACCATCCATCCCCACCCACGGATTGTGAGCGCATCTACTATCATCATCCAAATGACCCCCATCCTCACCACTACTCTTCCCCATCCACGGACCACCACCCTCACCACTACCCCGATCAACGAACCACCAGGAACCACGCCCTGGCTAGCGAACCTTCTCACCTCGCGTTTCTTCGCTTCGTTCTTGCCGTACTTTGGGAACAGGTAGGAGATGATGTTGCCGATGCAGCAGGCCATGTGCACCATCGGTCCTTCCTTGCCGAGGCTGAGGCCGGCCGACACGGCCATCATCATCGTCACCGACTTGATGACGTACGTCCACTTGCCCAGGTAGCCGCGAATGATGAAGCCACTCAGAATCGTCTTGATCTGACGCGGGAGTAAAATTTCGTCGATCAAACAAACCATTCAGTAACAACAAAACAATTATTCATTACAAAAACAAATCGCACATATCAAATTGATTTGACAAAACCCGAAACAACACGTTCTCTAATTTTTTTCCCCATTTTTACGATTGGGTTGTTTTTGGTCGGAATGATCTTCGAATTAGTTGAATTTGAGCGAATTACGACAAAACGGATGCTCTAACTAGGTGCTGCTGATGTGCAAGCAGATATCATCAATACTTCCTGCATCAGCAAAGGACCTTTTTCCCCCCAACAGCACAGAGACACTTCCTGTACTGACCAGGAAATTTCCCATAACAGCCAAACGTTTCCTGCACCGTCCAGAACACTTCCCGCAACAGCAGAAACGTTCCTGCATCGACCAGAACACTTCCTGCAACAGCAGAAACGTTCCTGCATAGCACGCGTCAGAACACTTGCGGCAACAGAAGAAACGTTCCTGATCGACCAGAAAGGCATCTGTCAACAGCAGAAAGTTCTGCACCGTCCAGAACACTCCTGCAACAGCAAGAAACGTTCCTTTGCATCGACAGAACACATCCGCAACAGCAGAAACGTCTGCACCGTCGCAGGAACACTTACCTGCAACAGCAGAAAAGTTCGCGGCATCGACCAGAACATCATGCCGCAACAGCAGAAACGGTTCCTGCCCGTCAGAACACTTCGACAGCAGAAGCGTTCTGCACTGTCCAGAACACATCTTCCGCAACAGCAGAATACGTCCTGGCATCACGACAAACATCCTGAAACAGCAAAACGTCCTGCATCGACCGAACACATCCTGAACAGCAGAAACGTTCCTGCATCGACCAGAACACTTCCGCAACAGCAGAAACGTTCTTGCATCGACCAGAACACATCCTGCAACAGACTTTTCCCGCGACAGCAGCTAAGCACACTCACCTCTGGGATTCCGGACCCGCATGCGTAGGGAGCGAACTGGCGGACGAGCGTGACTGCGAGCAGGCCGACGAACACCGACCAGAAGACGTACATAAAGTACTGCAGCAGGTAGTACCAGACGCCGTGCGCGTCCGTCGCGCCAAACACGTTAGGCCACGTCTGCCACTAAAAGTAACAATGATGGGGGTTTGTTAGGCTACGTCTGCTACTGCAATGACAACAACAACAACAACAACAACAACAACAACAACGGGGGTTTGTTTAAGTTTGTTAGGCCCACGTTTGCCCACTGAAACAACAAGGACAACAACAACAAAACAACACAACAACAACAACAACAACAACAACAACAACAGGGCTTTTGCACAACATCGTTGGCTTTAAAGTAGTGCAGGGCTACGAGTAATAGTATCAGGAGAGATCAATAATATAATGCCCGAGAGTCTCACATTAAACAGATGCGGGCTCGGTAGTAGCAGCAGCAGCTTCAACGCGACACACCGGCGTACACTTCTATCGCGCCCCACGGGCGGGCTGGTAGTAGCAGCAGCAGCTTCAACGCGACAACCGCGCCACTTCCCATCGCCCGCGCCCACCGTGGGCGGGCTCGGTAGTAGCAGCACACTCAGCGCGACAATACGTCGACTTCCATCGCCACCGCCCCCACGTGGCGGGCTCGTAGTAGAGCAGCAGTTCAGCGTGACAACGCGCCATCCATCGCCGCCCCACCGTGGCGGCTCGGTAGTAGCAGAGCGCTCAGCGGGACACCGCACCACTTCCGAATCAGCGGCCCCCCGTGGCGCGCTCGGTAGTACAGCAGCAGCTTCAATGCGACAAACTCAACGTCACTTCATCGCCGCCCCCACGCGTGGGCGCGCTCGGTAGTACAGCAGCAGCTCAATGCGACACGACTGTCACTTCCCATCGCCCGCCCCCACCGTGGCGAGCCCCCGCCCCCCTTTTTCGGTAGTTAGGCAGCAGGCAGTCTTCATGCGTGAAAACGGCGGCCACTCCCACGCCCGCCCCCACCGGGGGCGGCTTCGGTCGTAGCAAGCACAGGTTCAACGGACACCGGCGTGCACTTCCCAATCGCCTCGCCCACGCGTGGGCGGCGCTCGTAGTAGCACAGCACTTCACGTACAACCGCGGTCACTTCATCGCGCCCCACGTGGCGAGTCGTAGTTATGCAGGCAGCAGCTTCCAGGCGTGACACCGCGCCACTTCCCATTCGCCCAGCCCCACCGTGGCGCGGTAGTAGAGCAGCAGCTTCAACGCCGAAAGCCGCATCACTTCCGATCGCTCTCCATCGCCCGCACCCCACGATGGGCCGAGTCGTAGTGAGCAGCAGTAGCAGCTCAGTGCGGGACAACCGCAGACCATTACCATCGCCCGCGCCCCACCGTGGGCGAGATCGTAGTATCGGCAGCGGCTTCAACGCGACAACCGGCGTCACTTCCCATCGCTTCGCCCCCACGTGGGGCAGGCTCGGGTAAGTAGCACAGCAGCTGAGGTGTCGGCCCATCGGCCCGCCCGTACCGTGGGCGGGCCTCGGTAGTACAGCAGCAGCTTCACTGCGACGACGCGCACTTCCAATTCCGCCGCACCGTGGGCGAGCTCGGTAGTACAGCAGCAGTGAGGATCGTCCACCATCGCCCCCACGTGGCTGCGCTCGGTAGTCGCAGACAGCTTTCAGGCGACAACACACGTCACTTCCATCCCCCCCACCGTGGGCGAGCTCGTAGGTGCAGCAGCAGCTTTAAAAGCGACAACAGTCAGCGTCACTTCGCCATCACCGCCCCCACGCGTGGCAGGCGAGGTAGTAGCAGCAGCAGCTTCAGCCGACAACGGCGCACCAACTTCGCTCGCCGCCCCCACGTGGGGCGGTCGGTAGGCAGCAGGCAGCTTCAACGATCGTCTCGTCACAACAACACG